GGGGTTAACGGACGTGAGCCATGAGCCGAGCAATATGTATACATGCTCAAACTAGACTGATTTCAGACCTGCCTAGGAAATAAATTCACATTTTGGCCCAAACAACTGTCCGAAATTTCAGCTCTTTCCGATTTTAGAACCGCCAAGGGATTTGAACGTGCCACACTTCACACGGTGCCCCCAACGTTTCGGGTGAATCGTTTTCCGAAACGACTAAGTGCTCGATCCTATCTACCCTAGGATCAGGGGATGTAAGAAGTATGAGAATCATCACCAATATCATCAGTAATTTATACACACAGGTACAAGTCAAAGTATGAGAAATAACAAACGCCGTTGGTGGGAATCGAACCCCGGACCTCTGGGTTCAGGAGGGAAGAGGTACTGAGCCCCTAGGAATGTACTTAATTTTTTTTTCTGGTCCTTTGCCCATTTCTATGATATTGACGCGATCTGATTAGAAGAAAAATGTGCTTATGATTGCGTCCAATACTGCATTACGTACACAATTGTTATAACATATAACTGTTAAATATAAACGTTCAAGATAATTATAGATGTTTGTGAAGGAGCTGAGAGCAGTGATGATTTTAGAAATGACGAGGTGGTGATGATAAGTGATGATGTGGGATTGTGTTTATGTATATAATTATTAAAAAGGCATGCTTCTGTTAGTTGTTTGTTGTTGTTTTTAAAATAATGTTAGCGCTAGATCTAGTCCTATCTTTCTCTGCTCTGATGAGTCATGAGGGATGTGGGCACCTGCTATCCATTTCTCTACTGGAACCTGGGGATGTACTTTTAAAAGAGACGTTTTAAACTATTTCTTAAAAAGATAAAAGAGCTTACCTGGCAGCACTGGACTTTAGATCCATAAAATCCACAGAACTGATCCAGGGGCAGAAGAACACGAGCCTTTAAGGAATTTCCAAATCCTCACTCAAGAAGAGAATAAAAAAGCGAATCTCTCAGGGCACGAATTGAACGCATACACAGCCCACCGGGGAAGGGCGACTACTCTTCCAACGCTACACAACAGCGAGGTAACCAGAGGAGCTGTGCCAGAGTTCCGCTAGGGGGAGTGGTGGCAGCATTGTCCCGTCCACAGTCCATTGGGGGGGGTGTTAGTATGTCACGTATCTGTCAGTGCCGGGGCAGTACCCACGTTTCTGTCTCCATCTAGGAATGTCAGACACTGCCGCAGTGTAGTTAGAGCTGTTGATGAAACAGTTGACACTGCTGTCTGTGGTCAGTTGCTGATGACACACCTTGCCACTTGACCAGGCAGGGGCTTGAAATCCACAGTCTAAACATAACCACAGACCGATTCATCTGCAACCTGTATTTATTTAAAAACAGTTAGTCATTCAGCGGATTTATTTTTCTTTTCTGTCAAATCCAGACCTACAGAAACAAGAAGCCGCCCATATGAATGCCCATACACAACTTTAAAAAGCACAATAGTTTATTCAAACACGCAAAAGGAGAGAGAGTTCATTGCGTTCGTTCAAATCATTTCGACCCAAACATATGATCATTAAAAATTTTATCACCAGGGGTTTTCAGCATTCTACAAATGAACTCTCGGCATTCGTACGCCAAGCTCAAACAAGACTGAAATTACCTAATAGTGTTAATAGTAGCGTTAAATCTTCACCCTTTCACCATTTTCAAAGACATATTTCAAAGTATGTCAAGAAGTGAATTGCTATTTGTTTCTAGAACATGGCACATATGATGACACAGTGTCAAACACACATATGTATTCAGAGCCAAGAGTTCTCTCTCTCTCTCTCTCTCTCTCTCTCTCTCTCTCTCTGG